GTTGCAGAATGATCGAGTAAACATTAAAAAACTAAATTAATGAATCCCACGGGAACCGTAACCATTCCCGGGATAAAAAGTAGCCTTTTTTTCCAGAATATGCTAAACCTGTGCCAAATTTCATGGAGATCCGTTCAGCCGTTTAGGCTACAAACGCTAACAAACATCCATCCATCTAAACTTTCGCATTTATAATATTAGTAAGAAGTAAGATAAGTAAATATACTTACACGTAGTGCATTTTCATTATTCGTTGTTACATTAACCCATCCTTTCATTGACGTAACTAGAGTCACATTATCTACATGACAATATCCATCCTGTAAAAAAAATATTAACCATAAAAAAAACTAATTACTGTACTTAATGAGCAAATAAACACTAAATTAATAATTTAATGTAGATATCAAAAAGACATCATATAGAAGTAACTCTTATAGTGTTTCTAAATAATTTAGATTAGTTTGACAATTCAATTCAAATTTAGTAGGGATGGGTTGTGTAATCAGTCATGAATCTTATCGATATTCGATTTTTATTGTTATAGAAATTGGAATCGATAGAATTATAGTTATAACTTATGAATTTAAAAAAAAACTGTTTTCTCAAATTAATAATAACCATTACAAATAATGAGAGTAAATAAATGTTTATTACTACTACAGTACGTAATCGAATTGGATTTCCCTATTATTTCTGTCATCGCTAAATTCTCTACACTATAATCAATACTAGAATTGTCCTATAAATTAGTTAATAACAAAATAATAATAGTTCAGTTCGATAATTATTTAAACCGAATATCGATAGTTCAAAATTGTTCGCTGCGTGTTTGTTCGTCACTACGATACCTGTCTATTAAGTATGGAATTTACCTTCATACAAATTGAATTCGATACTTCATATGCGTCATTTATCAAACTAATCTATTTTATTTAGACACACTATAAGTATAAAAAAACCCCTCGTTTAAGGAGTTTTTACATGTTTTATGTCTCAAGCCATTAAAAAAAAAATTAAATAATTTGAAATTAGAACACATTGTCGATGTCATCGTATTTTCTGTCTTTTTTTGCACATATTTTACCAATACACATGTTTCCGTTAAAAATAATTTTATTTATAAATCTTATTGTGGACATTTTATGGAAAATCTGACTTCAAAGACCTTTAGTGTTACTTAACGTCTATGAGTGCGTTACCTGCCCTAAGTAGTCTCCGTAGTCCTCCTCAGTGGGTAAGCCGTGTTTCATGATCCACTGGTAGGCGCGGAAGTCCTCACCACCGTCGCAGCCATTATTTCCAAAACTAACAAATAATAATTACATTATAACTAGCTTTGGCCCGCGACATTGTCCGCGTGGATTTCTTTTTTCTTTATTAAAAATACTAGCTGTTCGCATGCGGCTTCATCCGCATGAAATTATAAATTTATTGTGTGCAAATGTCAAAATACCAATTACCTTACTATGGTAAGCTTGCTTCCTTGATATTGGCAGCAACTTATGGTCTCTTTCCCACATTAGGGTTTTTATCCAAAACATTTACCCCTAAGTTTAACGGCGTAAAATTATATAGCCTAAAGCGGGACGTAAGTGTAGGGCTTTTAATTAAAAAAAGAGTTATTCGAAAATATGCTGTGATTGCTGACATCTTAGGCTACAAAGAAGTGTGTGTTTACGCTTTATTATAATAGTATAGATTGAATCTAACTTTCCAAATCAATTTGAACGTATTAATAATGTTTATAATAGTAAAATGGATGGATATCCTCCCTTAATCAAGGTATAAAGGGTGCATACCCCCAGGAGCAGTCAATGAGGGTCTGCTGCGAGAGTCTGACGAGGTGCCCGCCGTTGTGCAGGAACAGAGCGCCCTCCACCGCGCCCACAGTACCGAACGACCAGCAGGAACCGCATACTGACTGATCTGGAACACATTGAAAAAAAAACATAAAAAAAAACGATTTAAAACACCAATTTAACAGTGGTAGAGCCCACTTTAACATCGCACGAATAGGCCGGCTCGCCCGGTGTATTTTTATGTCAAATCATTTTTTCATGTTCAACAAAGCAGCTAACAGATGGCGTTAGTTTTAATCCATTGCTGTCGTAGTTTAGGTTTTATTTTAGTAAATAAACTAAATGGCTTATATTTCGTTATATTAGAAATTTATTATTTCCTTATATTACCTTTAACAGGAGTAACAGCTCCGAACAGCCTCCAGTCAAACTCCGGAGGTAACTTCACATTCATCTCCTGCAGCTCGCTCTCTCCATACGGGAACTCCAGACCTGCATCGGTTATAACAACATAAAGTTATAACAACATATT